AAGATATATAGAAAAGGAGAGACAAAGATGTTACATCTGCTGGTTCACTCCTCAAGTGGCTGCAATGGCTAGAGCCAAGCTGATCCAAAGCCAGGAGCCAGAACCTTCTTCCAGGAATCCCAGGTAGGTGCAGTGTCCCAAGGTTTTAGGCCATCTTCAACTGCCTTCCCAGGCCACAAGCAGGGAGCTGGATGGGAAGTGGAGCCACTGGGATACAAACCAGTGCCCATATGGGATCCTGGTGCTTGTAAGGCGAGGACTTTAACCACTAGGCTGCTGCACTGGGCCCACTTTTTATTTTCAAGTCAGATAAAGCTTTTATCCCTTGCCTGGTTCACTTCTTGAATGCCTGCAGTAACTGGAGCTGGGTCAGGCTGAAGCTGGGAGCCAGGAACTCAGTCCATATTTCCTGCTGAGTGGCAGAGGCTCAACCACTCCCATCCCTGCTATGTCTCAGGGTACACATCAACAGGCCCTCCGAGCTGGCATCCTAACTGCTGTGTCAAACACCTGCCCCTCAAAATTGCTTGCATCAAAATAAACTTAGTTCCATTTTCTGTGAGCTCTCTGAAGGTCCCACACATACAGAAAGAAGGACTGACATTGCCCACTTGTCTTATGGTTGGGGAAACTGAGGTCCAGATTGGACGAGTGATTGGCCCCTGGAACGCCTGAACTCAGCCAAGGGGTCCCAGTGTGCCCGGCCCTCCAGTGCATGGCTCCCAGCCTGACTCCAGGGTGCCCTCAGAGAGCTGCCTGGGTCCCTCCCAGCCTGACTCCAGGGTGCCCTCACGGAGCTGTGTGGGTCCCTCCCGGCCTGACTCCGGGGTGCCCTCACAGAGCTGTCTGGGTCCCTCCCGGCCTGACTCTGGGGTGCCCTCACAGAGTTGTCTGGGTCCCTGGCCCCCCACAGCATAGACACAGAGGCCAGAGGTGAGTGCAGATGTTCAGCTTTATTTCTCTCCATGCCAAGAAACGCAGTCACTGGGGTCAGGGGAATGGTGGGGGGCGGGGTGGGGTAGTACTCCTGGCCCCGTGTTCATGCAGCTGGACCCAAGATGACGCTGGAAGAGAAAGGCCACTCCTTCCCAGCTTCAGCGCAGCCTGGGGGTGGTGGAATCCTCCCGCACTCTCCTCCTCTCTGCTTGCTGCACACCTCTAGGCCTCTGTGCTACTCCCTGGCACCACTAGAAAGCTCTGGGGTGGTTCCTTCTGAATGGAAGAATGTTCCAGCCAGGCCTCCCTGAGGCTCTCTCATACCTGCACCTAAGCAGGGGTCTTGAGTGTGAAGAATCTTAGGGAGTACTCAGTGGCACCTACTGTATGTGGGTGACTGTGACTGCAGGGTAGGAAGGTTGCCCTCCTCATTTCTCACATGCCTGAATACTAAGTGCAATCCCCTCGCCCTCAGGGGGCGTGCCCTGAGACCACCGCCCACTGCCCCTCCTGCCAGGGCTGGAGCCTGTGAGTGGATACCCCAGGTTCGCTTGATAAGTGGGGGTCTCTCTCTCTTCTGGTCTCTGAGCTGCCAGCAAACAAACGTATCCAGTCCCTGCTTTAGGAACTAGGGCCGCTGCTGTTTACTCCCCAGAGCTTGGGGCACTGACGTGGGAACCTCAGCCTTAGGGGAATCCACCAGCACCCCTGCTCTCCTAGCAATCACAGAGCCTGTACCCCAGGCTCCTCCAGTAGCCTCTGAGGACTATGGGGGAGTCGGGAAAGAAAGGCTGGAAGGTGGCAGAGACATCCTGGTGGGCCATGCCCAGACCAGAGCAGCTCTGGCTGGAACCCAGCCAGCCCTGTTCTTCGGGCTATGAGGTCAGCCTCCAGGGGCAGGAAAACCTGGAGCAGCCCTCTCCAGGGAGCTGCAGCTACAGCCAGGGAGGGAGCAGGCGGGGACAGACAGGCCCCTTGTGGGCCAGGATGTACCCAGGGGTTGAAAACAAGAGGAGGCCCCGGCTCTGCCCAGCTCCACCCAGGTGTTCCCTGGGTCCTAAGAGAAGGTGGTTCCTAGGCCGCGCCTGCCGGTTCCGGAGTGGAGTTCCTAACTTGTAGGCCATTCAACTAAGCCCTTTCCTGGAATTTTGACGAAAGCTTAGCCTGATTCCTAGGAGGCAACACAAATATCCTGAAGGGCCAGGGAGCCCATGGCAGGTACCCGACCCCCACTGCTGAGGCACACCCCAGAACATCCCCCTTTGGCGCAAGTGGACATCTGGGGCATTGGGCAGTAATGCACAGAGCCTCATGGGCTTGACGACCTACGACCTTGTGCACCTGTGCCCAGTCCATGTGGTGCCCTGAGCTGCCTGGGTGCACTCACAGGCTGTCTCCCAGGCTGTGGAGGAAACTGGAGCAGGAAGAGCACTCGGGCACCTCCACCCGACCTGTTGACCTCAGCCGGAACTCAGGCTACAGCACAGGTTGCTTGGTCCAGGGGTCCAGGCGGGGTCCAAGGTTTTTGGCAGAGTCATACTGTCTCTCCCGTGTTTCCACCAATGTTCTCCCCCACGCCCGGGAGGACTTCAGTGTGGTTGTGGTGTCTGTGCCTGCCCCTGAACTCACCGGCAGTGCTGGCTGAGCTCACAGCAGACACTGGCCACAAAGCATGCAAGCCTGCGAACCGCCTGGTTTTACCCCTCTGGGAAAATACAGAAGCTGAAGTTGCAGTCTTTGCTCCTGGACTACAGGAGCGAAAGGGAGCTGTACTTTGCCTTTTCCTGCCCCCAGCTGTCTTCTGAGTGTGGGGAGAAGTGGTTTCCCCTGGTTCTGGCAGTTGAGGATTCTTGAATGATCCCAGGAAACTTTGGGGTCGAGACGCCAGGATGAGTCCTGGAGAACAAAGCAATGTGTCTGTTGATGTTCCAGGAAACTTTCTTTATTTCCTTCCTTCTGTTCTTCCTCCGGATCTTCCCATCCATGTGGGCTGGTCCTGGGTGGCCTGGAGAAGGGAGGATGTCCCTCCGAGTGTGTGCTTTGGCGCCTGGAGAGAGTCACCAGGTTGTCACCTTGCGTTCCTCGGTGGTGTGTGGGGTGCAGGGAATAGGGCCCTCCAGAAGGCCTCTACGAGAACAGCTCCCGTTGGTCTTACTTATTATGAACTGTAGAAAAAAGAAGCAGGTTCAGAACTCCAGGGCTTGATGGAAGAATTTGGGTGGTGCTTTCCCGGTGGGAGACAGTAACAGGGATGCAGTCCAGGGCTGGGACCTCTTGGTGTGACCCTCTGCGGAACTGACTGCAGCCAATGAAAGAACTACGGCTTGGTGACTGGCTCAGAGGTGAGCGTGTGAGCCTAATAGGACCAATCAGGATCAGTCCTGGGACTTGAGCCCACCTTTTCAACAAAAGTTTAGTTACTGAGCTGGTTGAAATGTGAGCCACTACGGGGTGGGGACACTGTTAGAGCTGTTACAATTAGAAAGAGGATCTGCCCCCCCAAAGCTGCCCCAGCAGGAAGTAGGATGAGGGAGTGAGACAGAGTCCTGTCTCCGTGGATACAGCCACATCTAAATTTGAGCTCAGTGGTTGTTACTTGTCAATCACTAGCCATCCAAAATGACTGAGCCCTAGCCAAAATGACTGGCAGCCACAGGAGGAAGGCATCTGCGGCAGCTTAGGTGGTCCTGAGACCCCTGCCTGTCTCTTACCTGCATGCTAGCCACACTCTGCACTCGTGGAGGGAAGCTGAGAGAGAGCTTAGGGAACCTGCCTCACACAGAAAGCAGGCGACCTGCGGACCAGTGCTGTGGCATAGTGGGCTAAATGAACACCTATAGTACCAGCATACCATATGGGTGCCCATTTGAGTCCCATCTGTTCCGCTTCCAATCCAGCTTCCTGCTGATACACATAGGAAAGAAATGGAAGATGGCCCAAGGACTCTGAACCCTGTACTCATGTGGAAGACCTGGAAGAAGCTCCTGGCTTTGGCCTGGCCCAGACACAGCCATTGTGGCCATTTGAGGAGTAAACCTGCGAATACAAGCTCTCTCTCTAACTGCTCCTTTCAAATAGATTAAAAAAAAAATAGGTCTCTAAAAAAGAAGAAAGAAAAGAGAGCAGAGGACCTGGATTTTGAAAGCAGGCAGACAAATTATAAACTTGAACACTTTTCTTTTTTCCTGCATGGCCAGGTTGCCCATGGCCACACTACTGAATCTTAGGCCATGTGCCCTAATCTAAGCACCCCATATTCTAGACCACTACCTCGCAAACTGGGATGATTACGTTGGAATCTTATTAAAATTCAGATTTCAGGACCCAGCATGATGGCCCAGTGACTAAGTCTTTGCCTTGCATATGCCAGGATCCCATATGAGCACTGGTTCATATCTTGGCTATTCCACTGCGTGTGGCCTGGAAAAGCAGTAGAGGGTGGTCCAAAGCTTTGGTACCCTGTACCTGCATGACAGACCTAGAGGAGGTTCCTGACTCCTGGCTTTGGATCAGCTCAGCTCTGGTAATTGTGGTCACTTGGGGAGTGAACTAGTGATCTTTCTGTTTCTCCTTCTCTCTGCAAATCTGACTTTCCAATAACAATAAATAAATCTTTTAAAAAGTCCAGATTTCAAAGTCCTGAGATTTTGCATCTGTCTCTCTCTCTTTTAAGATTTATTTCATTTTTATTTGAAAGGCAGAATTACAGAAAAGAGAGAGGGATTTCATCTGCTGGTTTACTTCCCAGATGACCACAATGACTGGAACTGAGCTGATTCTAAGCCAGGAGCCAGGAGCCAGGAGCTTCAGTCAGGTCTTCGACGCAGGTGCAGCGACCCAAGCCTTGGGCCATCCTTCACTGTTTTCCCAGGCCACAAGCTGGGAAAACAGAAGTGGAGCAGAAGTGGAGCAGTCAGGACTCAAACTGGCACCCATTTTGTGCTCAGGCCAAAAATTCAATCCAGGTCTGCTCTGACGTGGGTGACAGGAATCCAGTAACGAATCATTACCCGGTGCCTTGCTGAGTGCACATTAGCAGGAATCCAGAATCAGAAACAGCAGTCTCAGACCCAGCTGCTGGCACTGTACCACACTCGTGCAACAAAGCCTTTAGGAGAGAAGCTTACAACAGTCATGGAAATGGGCAGAGATGCTTGAGGCTTCCCAGTGTGAGTGTGTGGAGACAGATCTAGGCTGCATTGCCCCAAAACTCAAGAGCTGCCTGGACCTTGGGAGCAGCTCAGAGTCACCTTGGAAAGTGGCTCCAGAGCTGATGCTTTCATCTCACGTGGGTGCTGGTTCATGTCCCAGCTGCTCTACTCTATTTCAGCTCCTTGCTAATGTGCCTGGGAAAGCAGCAGAAAGGCAGCCCGAGTGCTTGGGCCCTACTCCTACACAGAGGCCCTGGATGAAGCTCAGGAATCCTTGCAGAGCCTTCTTCCTGCCAGCTGCACCTGTGTAAGCCCAGAGGCTCAGCCAGGCACGGTGCAGGCCAGGGAGTCTTGGCCTGTGCTTTTCCCACAGCCTTTCCCGTTGTTCGCTGGCCAAGCAGAAGACAAGCCAGAAACCCCTGCCCACTCAGAGGGTCACTGTTGGGAACTGGGCTGTGGTCCCCACAGGGGCTCTTACCCTGCCCTCACCTCCCTGGGGGGCAGACCACACCCCTAGATGTTCACTCAGAGCAATCTGCCCTTCTAACCCGTACCCCTGCCCTGGGCCTCACCTGCAAGGTTTACAACCACCGCCACCACGATGATGACGATCCCCATGATGATGAAGGTGATGCTGAGTAGCCGGGCCAGGCGGCCCAGCCTCCGGGCCCCATCCAGGTCCCCCTGCTGCACGCTGCTTCGAGACTGTGGAGAGAGGAAGGCAGCCCCCTCAGGACGGCTATCTGTGGGCCCCAGGCCTCAGCAACCCTACAGGGGCCCCTAGACTGAGCCTCCAGCACATGCAGCCCCCAATACAGCTCCCCCCCAGGGAGGAAGAGAGAGCTCCTTCCAGAGAAATCATCTGGGCCTCTAGTTGCGGATAGTGGGAAGTAGATCCTGGCACAGTATAAGGGATCAATAAATCTCCATTGTCCTCATCATTGTACTTAGCCATCAGTCCTTGCTGAAGTCTCGGGTCTCAAAGATTCGGAAAATGAAACAACCAGTCACCTGGCCTGAAGCCCTGGGCTAACTCCACACAGTGCAAGAAGAATGAAAAGATTTAATTATATACATATACTTAGATTTAATATACATTTATATATTTACATAATATATTTATATAATTTTAATATACTGTGTGTGTGTGTGTGTGTGTGTCGGGGGAGGAGTGGCCTGTGGTGTCATCTCATGCAGGGAGGCCACATGGGTGTCCTGGGTGAGAGGGTTCAGGGGTGCGTGGGGTGGGCCCAGAAGGAGCAGTGAGGAATTTTAGAAAGCAGGTGGGGACAATTATTAGGAGTTTGCTGTGGATGACAGGGTAGCTGCAACTGAGCTTCTTCCCAACGGACTATGGGCAAGGAAAGGACCCAGCTAAGAGGGAGGGATGGGGGGAGAGTCAAGGCTGGGGGTGACTGGTCCACCATGTTCAGGGTGGCAGAGACTGAGACCTGAACCTGAGTCCCAGGGAGGAAAGTGTGCACAGAGGAGGGGGTTTAGCCAGCAGAGGGGTGCAGGTGGGTTCACACCATGACAGGCCGACAGGTGGGTGTGGGCAGGGAGCTGCCTCTGGGCCTCAAGGTCCTTAGGAACCAGGGTTTAATGTGGTTGACAGAGGGGAAGCAGAAAGTGAGTTTGCGGTCCATCTAGCACTGCCAGCTCCCAGTGACCTACAATGAGTAGAGGGCATGGCCTGGCGCCTGGAGGGCCTTCAACGAGAGTTACAGCTTTGAGGCTGTATTCTGCCAGTAGAATCTCTTTCCTGCTCTGGATCGGCACGGGGAGAAGCCGCAGAGTGGGAACCTGTCTAGCAAGTCTCGGTAAGGTTACTGATAGCGCATCCTTGGCCCTGTCAGAGGCGTCAGTGTGGATGTCAAGCACAAATCCATACTTCACCTCCTTCCTCGGTCCTTCCTCTTCCTCCTCTTCCCCCCTCCCTGTTGGTAGGAGGACGTGGGAGGCTCCTGGTGGCTGTGCCCCCATGGAGCACCGTGCTTCCTCCATCTGCATTGCCAACCCCAGGCTCAGCAACCAGCAGGCTGCGGGCTCCAGCAGGAACCCAAGGCCTCCTACCTGAAGCTCCCCTTTTGGTCTTTATCTCCACCACAGGCAAACACCATCCAGGGTGAGCTCCTGAACTGCTCTAACACCCCAGTACTCCCTTCTGCAGCTCCAGCTTCCCTGCTCTAACCTACACATGCCCCATTTGTTTTACTGGGGGATCTCACAGCTTCCTCCTTGCTTGTCCAACCAACTCCCTCTGACCTCTTCTGGGTCCTAAGCAGGACTCGTCAATCTTCGTCCTGGTCCCGAGACTACTCTGAAAGTGGTGCACGGTTCTACCTGCCCACGCTGCTCATTCCCTCATCCCAGATTGCCACCTGACAGCTTCTCAGCCTCCTCGAGACACCTCCCTGGCTTCCCATGGCCATTACTCAGTCACCTTCTCTGCCTACCTTTTTTTTTTAAGGCACACAGAGAGAGAGAGAGAGAGAGAGAGAGAGAGAGAGAGAGAGCATCCATTCATTTGTTCATTCCCCAAAATGCCCACAGCAGCCAGAAACTCCACCCAGGTCTCCCATGGAGGAGACTGGGACCCAGGTACTTGAGCCATCAGCTACTTCTCTGGATGAGTATTAGCAGGAAGCTGCATGGGAAGAGTAACAGGGACTCGAACCAGGCACTGCAGTATGGAATGTCTGCATCTTGAGCGGTGACCTGAGCAGCCAGTGCCCTGGACAGGGACATCGGCTCTCACCCCAGGCCCAGCCTGGGGTTCCAGTGCCAGGATTCCTAATGACTGACAGGAGTCCGTGGAAATGCAGATGATGACAGCACCCAGACCCATGGCATCTAGTCAGGACTAAATGTGAGGCTAGATGTGAAACTAGGGTTTGGATCTGAGCCTCACCCTTGACAGGCATTCAGTAATGTCAGTGAGGGTGACCCTCCACTCTACAGCCCTTCCATTCCTTCCTGCCCCTAACATTTCCCTTTAGAAATTCATTTCCACAGCTCTTCCTCACCTGCCTTGCATCACCCCCACTGGCTCCTGCTCAGGAATTCCTTCCTCCACCATCATTTCCTCCAACTGTGTAGGCTGCTAACCAGCCCTGACATACCTAGTCCTGGTCCCCTCTCTCCCCTCCCTTCTGCCACCAGGTCCCCTGTATCTCAGCCAGTGACCATGCCCTCCATAGTGACCTTGCCCTCCTTGTCCTCGGTGTCCTGGAGGCAGCATGGACACTGCCTCTTCTCTGATCTCTCTGTATGCCTCTGCCCTCAAGCCTCTCAGGGTTCCTAGGAGGGTCTCCTTCTTGTGCCCTGATTGGGATTCGTCCTCTTCCTTAGGGACTCAGACCCATCTAGCGTGCTCTCCCAGAGTGGCCAGGGGTCTGTGAGTGGCTGCCCATCCTCTCTCTAGCCTTTCACCTCTCCTCCTTCTGTCTCTTCCTCTCTTCTGCCTCTTCACTCATTTTCCTCCTGCCTCCTGAAATCCCATTTTGCGCACTATTTTCTGTCCACTTCCCGTTGACCATCCTGAAGGCCAAGGGCAGCCGGAACTTGAAGCCAACAGCCCCTCTGTCCCCCAGGCCCTAGAGGGTTCATCCTGCAGCACCCTTGCATGGCCTAGCTTGGAAGCCTGCTCAGGGGATTTCCCTGTACTAGACTATTTCCTGCAACATGACTGAAGCTTGTTTCTTTAATTGCTTTGATTATCTCAGAGACAGAGCGCCCATCCACTAGTTCATTTCCCCAGATATCTGGCATGGCCAGGTTTGGGCCAGGCTACCAGCAGAAGCCAGGAACTCTATTCAGGTCTTTCACATGGGATCCAGCCACTTGAGCTGTCCTCACTGCCTCCTAGGGACAGCATTAGCAGGAAGCTGGAGCCAGGAGCCAGTGTTGGAGCCCAGACACACCCATAGGGGACCCAGCATCATCACCGGGGTCTTAATCACCATTTCAGGCACCCACTTGGAGACTGGCTGGAAGGGGACTCAACTTCTGGAGTGAGCCCCTCGCCCTCTCCTTGTGGCATGGCTTACACTCATGTGGCCCATAAATCAACTTCTCAAACACCTTGCGAGGGCCATGGTGCTGAAAGAGGCCGTGAACAGGCAGGCCTGGGCACCCTCCACCACTCAACCCTCAGAGCATGCCATTCAAGTCGCCACTCGGACAGGGTGTCCAGAAGGCCCCTCTAGCCCTGGCTGTGGCCCTGCCTCCCACCTCTCACCTGTAGTTAATGCAGGGTCTCCCCTCTCTGAAAACCAGACCCATCTGCTCAGCCTCTCCTATCCCCTGCACCCAGCTGTGTACCCCCAGAATGGAAGTTTGACCCCACTCCTCTCGGTTCCATACCCTGTAGAGACAGAGATATTTGGGGTGTAGAAGTTGGGAGGGGTCAGAGTGAGAGGGCAGCTAAAAGGGACAGAATTTCTCCTGATTGGAAGGAACAGGGTGGGTGGCATCTGTGTATAAATGACCGGTGAATTGTCCACTTCCACTAGACATGAGTCAGAGTGCAGTACAGCTGGTTAGAAACACTTGTAGTAAATTAAAAATCTAACAAAATAAAAACTAAAACAAAACAAAACAAAAAAAAGAAACACTTGTAGTGACCCCATGGCCCACTGGGGAGACTCAAGGTGCCACTTGATGACCATGACCTTGGTAGACTGTGTCTAAGTACTTTGAATGACTCATCTCAATCTCCTCTAGTGCAGACATGATGGGGCTACCCATTTTGCAGATGGCAATGTTGAGAGGAGGAGTATGAGTCAGTCACCCAAGGCTGCCACTAATCCCCTGTGTTGCACGTGACATGGGCGCCTCTTGCCATATGGTGTAAGGACCTGTTTACACTTTCTGTTCTGGGAAAGGGTGTCAGTCTGGTTCAGTCCCCCTACACCCCTGTGCCTAGCCCAGCACCCAGCAGAGCCCACTCAGGATCCTAGAAAGACTGTGGAACTGGGCTGGGGAAGAGCTTCCAGCTCTCTTAAGCTCAGATGCTTCACAGAGGCAGCGGCTCCTACCAGTCTGCGCTCAGATAGATTTAAACACTGTTTTCTCCCGGGCCTCTGGGTGCATTCTCTCCCAAGAGAGAGCCCAGAGGCCAGCCCCTCCCAGAACCACTGACTGTGCCCTGGAGGCTGGCTCTGCCCCTCCCACCCCAGCTGGCCCCAAGGGCCTCCCACAGCACACAAAGCCCTTCAGAAGGCCCCGGCCACGCCCTGGCTCCTGAGCCCATGCCAAATCCAGGGGAGTCAGGAATGCTGCCTGGGTGCCCCAAACCCTGGCACTCGGCCCTAGGTTTTCTGGGGGGCAGGGGCAGGCTTTCCCAGCTGGTCATTGGTCCTCTTCCAAGGGGACAGAGAAGTTTGAGGAAGAATGGGCTTTTCCCGGTGACACCTGGGGTACCCACCACCCCTAGGGTCTCGGCAGTGGATGACTCGGCACCCTGGGACCAGCAGTCAATGCTCACTCACTGCAAACCTCATTCCCTAGGTCATTGCCATGCAGCCTTTTGCTGTGTCTCCCTCCTCTTCCTTGTTAGTCACCAACATTTTCCTTGAGATCCTCTGAAAGGGGCTGTATCCAGATGGTTTGGTTTGGGGACAATTCACTTGGAAGACTCAGCCACATTCCCTGCTTGGCGAGGCTGGCTAGGCCCTCTGACAAATTCTTCCCCTTCTGGGAAAAAAGTGCCTTGAAGACAGACACTGGAATCAGTACAACCATCAAGGCCAGGAGCTGGGGGAAGAACATACACTCCCGCCCCTGCCGCACTCCTCCCAACACACCCGCCTAGCTCCATGCCTTCAGAAGCAGCCTGCAAACTCCTCACCTGAATCTCCACCCCAGGGAGCCAAGCCTCGGGGCCCTGAGTGCATGGCAGGGGAGTTACTATCAGCCCTTGGAAACCAGAGGCTGGTAGAATGCCCAAGGGGCCTGGGAAGCCCCCCTCCCCATCTCCTGGGACCCCCTTCTGGCTACAACCTCTGCTCGCACCTAAGGAGCAACTTTTGGAGAAGCTCACCCTCTCACAGGCAGGCAGGCAGACCCGAAGTGGGCTTTCTGCCCTGTAGGATTTAGTGCTGGTTGGGGGAACTCCTGGGACCCCAGCAGGGGCAAGTGACAGGCCATGACAGCTAGCAGCAGGCATCAGAGAGGAGAGCAGACATGAGCCCTCTGGGCCTTTGACTTCTTTGCCAAAGGGGAAGCAGGAAGACAGCAAAGAAAGAGGGTCTTCTCCCTGAGTGCCTAGCATGCGGATCTCAGCTTGGCATGTCAGGCAGTGTGCCTTCTGGGGTACTATCCACGATAGTGTCCTGCCCACCCACTCCAGCACTTACCATGATAGAAAAGATCAGAGGGATGAGGTTGAGGGGCCAGACTGGGCAGAAGCAGGAGGCGATGGCAAGGATGAGATAATCTTTGGGGGCTTCTTGGTCCTGGACGTAGGAGGTGGTGACGATGGAGGACGCCCGCCTAGAGCTGGCCCGCGAAGGGGAGCGGGGCAGGGAGGCCTCCCGGTGCCGCTCTGAGATGGCCTTGAAGGGCAGGCTGTGGCCGTTCTCCAAGTCCAGAGCCCCCGAGAGGGACCTGGACAGACGCAGAGCCTTGTCGTCCTTGTCCGCCACTGCTGTAGTGGTGAGGAGCTTTTCCATCTCCGGCAGCTCCAAGGGGGAGGTGGAGCCTTGCCCCTGCACTAGGGGAAACTGAGGCTGCACAGGGTTGGCCATGCTGTCCCCAGGACCTCAGGCTGCTCTGGCTCCTGGTCCACACCAGGGGGTTCCCAGAGGAATGTCAGCGCACCATTGCCCAACCCAGACCTGAGCAGGGGCACTTCAGAGCAGCAGCAGGTGTATCTCCTGGGGGAGGGAGCTCTCCAGGGCCTGCAGGGTGCGGAGTGAGCTGGGGTGGGCTTCTGGCAGCCCGTTGAGTGCAGAGGCTGCAGCCTGCAGCTGCCCAGGCGGGAGTTCCCAGGAAGCCAGGAAGCCTTCAGCAGCGTTCAAGTTTGAGGCCAACTTCTCCAGCCAGCACTACTGCTGACGGCACTGATGGGCGGGGAAGCAGCAGAAATTAAAGCAGAGAGGCAAAAGCGCCTCTGCCCCTTGAGGCTTAAGTGAAGGCAGGGCGCTGTGTGTGCGTGTCTGTGTGTTTGTGTGAGTGTGTGTACATGGCACAGCCTCCCTCCCTCTCAGCCCTCCTTGGAGACGCTCTTCCTTTTCAATTCCCTTCTCCCTAGAGAGCTACTGCAGCACATTCTGCCCTGCCCGGCCCAAGCCCAGCTCAGCCCACAAGCACTCGGGATGCTCTCTGGTTTCCATCACAGCAACTCCCCCAGTCCTGCCCCTCTGGGCTGGGGTTCTGGGTGGAAAAAACCCATTGGGTCTCCCCTGGAATAGTGTCCACAGCTGTCATGGAGGCTGCCGTGCCTCGTCCACGAAGGCGTACCTGTGCTCCCCACAAATGCTCGCTGGGCCCCGGGGCTGGCATGTCCCACCCAGACCCTGAGTCCAACCTCTAGAGATGGCCGGACCTCTGACTCAAAGATGGAGGAGGGGGAACTCATCCCCAGAGGGCCCTGTCTGGGCCGAACATAAGGGCTAGGACTCAGTTTGCAGGTAGCTTGCCAAAGGGGTGAGGAAAGGGACATGGTGAAGTGTCACCCCCTTTCATGTCCTTTAAAGATTTGTTCCAGGCTAACTTCAGGCACTAGAGACCCTCCTATCCTGTCACTTGCCAAGGGCGGGAGGGCAGGTGCAGCTCGGAAGAACAGCAGCTCTGGTCAACTCTATGCTCTTATTGGCTCTGACTTCCCTTTTGGTGCCACCTCATTCTTTGTCTGCACTTCTCCCCCTCTCATTGTTTAATAAGGATGGGGTGTGGGCCCAGCGCAATAGCCTAGAGACTGAAGTCCTTGCCTTGCATGTGCCAGGATCCCATATGGGTGCCAGTCCTAATCCTGCTTCCCATCCAGCTCTCTGCCTGTGGCCTGGGAAAGCAGTGGAGGATGGCTCAAAGCCTTGGGATCCTGCACCCACATAGGAAACCCAGAAGAGACTTTGGGCTCCTGGTTTCAGATCGGTGCAGCTCTGGCCGTTGCGGCCATTTGGGGAGTGAATTAATGAACGAAAGATCCTCTCTGTCTCTCCTTCTCTCTGTATGTCTGACTTTGCAATTATTTTTTTTTTTAAAAAGGATAGGGTGTACACCTAAAATAGTTTTTTTTTTTAGATTATTTTTTATTTTTATCACAAAGTCAGATACACAGAGAGGAGGAGAGGCAGAGAGGAGGATCTTCCATCTGTAGATTCACTCCCCAACTGACCACAGCAGCCGGTGCTGTGCCGATCCAAAACCAGGAGCCAGGAACTATTCTGGGTCTTCCACATGGGTGCAGGGTCCCAAGGCTTTGAGGGATTAGAACTGGTACCCATATAGGATTTAGGTGCATTCAAGGTGAGGACCTTAGCTGCAAGGCCACCGTGCCGGGCCTCCCCTGAAATAGTTTGTAATCCCAGGGTCATGACGGGGTGCAGCAAACACATCACTGCCTTTTTAAACAGGGAAGCTTCTCAATACAAGATCTGCTGACTCCCCAAGAGCCTCCCAGACTGTAAGTTGCAGAGAATTCCATGTCTGTCCCCAGAACTCCCCGGGGCTACACAGGCCAACGGGTGCACAGGCCAGGTCTGCACCCTCAGCCACATGAAGTGTGGGCAGCCCAGGTGAGATGCGCCGACACACGCAGGTGGACAGCTTCAAGGACAGAAAGCTGAAACTCGTTCCCACTTTTATACTGGTTGCATCTTGAAAGGATGATGTTTTTGGCCCTCCTGTGCTAAAAACAATTTTTTTAAATTAATGTCATTTGTTTACTTATAAAAAGTAGCAGCAGAAAACTTAAAAGTGAATACATGACTCATCCTACAAGGGTACAGTTCGTGGAATCATGGAACTAAAAAGAAAAATCCACGAAGTCCCAAGAGTTATTTGTGGGAGGTTGCCTGTATAGGTTGGGATTGGAGAATGCACGTTTGCACTGCCACCTAGTGGAAAAGGAGGGAGAAGCAGCTACGCTTCTAGTTGGCTCCAGAGTTCCCAGCCAGGTCAGGCAGGCAGGCCCGTGAGGTTTAGTTGTCCTAAAAGGTGGGTGTGGCCCACATAGGGTCGATGCACCAGCAAGGAGCTGTATCAGAGGTGAGCATCTTGGACTCAAACCGGTGCCAACATGGGACACTGGCATTGCGGCTTTACCTACCATGCCACAGCACCAACCCTGAATTTCCTAACTTCACAACGGTGCAGAAATACCCCATGTTTGGGAGAAACAAGACCCTGAATTTTGAATCTGTTTTTTTTTTCCCCCAGGCCAACTACATGCAGTCAGAACAACCTCTCACGTGGCATGAGCCACGGTTCCCAGCTGAGGGGGAAGCTCCCAGCTCCCCACTGAGCTCTGTTACTGAGCTCTGCTGTTTAGCAGGTTATACCCACTGAATGCATTTTAAGCATCTGACATTTTCAACTGAGCAAAGGGTTTACCAAAAAGTGACCCCAAGGAAAATCAAGAAACAGCTGTATTCAGAGTGTCCATTCAGCAAGTGCCCACTGTGTCCTAAATAGTTTAAGTGTATTAACTCCTTTTGTCCGCACAACAGCCTCTCATGTGAGTACATACTCATTCCATCCTATGGATGACAGCCTAAGAACCTAGGTGGATTGCCCAGGGTCACTCCAGTGTTGCGGTATGTCCCCTTGCTGAATTTACATACCTGCTGCAACCCAGGCCTCCACATCTCCCTGGCACTGGGCTGGGAAGAGGCCTGGGCCGGAACCTGGCTATCGTTTGATCCTGGAATTCTGAAAAGCAGGATACAGATCACTTTATGTTTCTAGGGAATAAATAACCAGAGCTGAGCCAAGGCTGAGGCCCTGTCCAGGCTGGTCTGTCACTGGCGTACAAAGGCTGCAGCAGCAACCAATTTCCAACGGGACCCTCCCAGCCACATCCCAGCCAAAACCCACCATGGGTCCCTGACCCGGCAAGCATCACCTGATATGTGGTCCCCTCATCCTGAGCCAGGTCAGGCACCAGCACGTCAGAGCTGCAGGGCAGAACTCTGGGCTCCAGAATTCTCAGGGTCTGGGAGCCCGGCAGCTTCTGGTTGAGACCCCTCTCTTTGCTCATCCTCCTCCTCACGAATTTCCCCTCCTCACTCCAGGGGCCCTGGTCCACTCTGCCCTGGGAGCTCTATTCTAGCCCCAATCCTTGACCATGCCCTCAGCTCCCGTCCCCAGAGGCTGCCCATCAGAGTCTCCATCCCCATCCACCCCTGCTCTCTACCCTATTCAGGTACCACCCTGCTCAACATTGCAGGAGTGGCGGGGGGTGGGGTGGTGTGCACTCAGGCTTTCTTGTCCCGTGGGGCTGCTGGGTCCCGCCCACTCACGGAACCTGATAGTCAACAGAGGCCAGAGTTCTGCCTTTTATTTGGATGCTCCCAGCGGCCTCTGCCGAGTCAGACCCAAGAGAGCAGCACAAGCAGGGGGAGGGGACCCCAAACGCTGCCATCTAAGCCCCCCAGATGCCCACCCGCTCGTGCCCTAGTCCCAACAGCTGCAAGACAGACCCATGCACAGACCACTATGCAGAGAGAGTTTGCCCAGTCCACGCACAAGAGCCACACAGGGCCTGCTTCCTTCCTGGGGCCACCGCCCCCAGGATCCAGGGTTCTTCTCTTTCAGGTTCCAGCCTGTTCCGTTTGACTCCTTCCAGGGCAGTTTTATGGTTTCGTAGGCCAGCGGGTGTGCTTCACCAGGGTCAGGAGGGCTGGTAGTCCAGTCCCGGGTCCGCTCGCATCCAGGGAAGCGGTCCCGCAGAGGGAGCCCCTGGGTTCCGGCGCCAGCTTGCCCCGAAGGTCTGGGGCAGGTCGGGCGCCTCGACCACAGTCCGGGGCTTTCCCGGGTGAGTTTGCGGGATGCTCGAGACGTAGCGCGGTGCGGTCGGCATGAAAGGGCCGGCGGCATCCCAGCGAACCAGGCCGAGCCCTGCGGGCGGCGAGGTGGGCGGCGGAGAGCCGACACCCGCGTCCCTGGCTCGCGAAGCCTGACCGTGGCATTCGCCGTGGTCGCAGGGCCAGCGGGGAATAGGGCTGGCTCGCAGGACGAGCGAGAGCGCAGCGATACGGTGGATGGCCCTGCGCAGCGTGGCGATCTTGGAGAGCCTCTTGCCGCCCAGGTCGTGGCGCAGTGCACGGCGCAGCGCGTTGAAGGCCTCGTTGTAGTCCAGGATGCGCTTGCGCTCCCGCACGTTGGCTGCCATGCGCCGCGCCTTGGACCGCGCCGGACGCGCTCGCTTTCTGCCCGCAGTCTCCTCGGCTTCGCCCAGCCCGTGGGGGGCGCCATTCTCCCTCAGCACCCCGAAATCCCTTCGGGTCTCCGAGTAAGCGCCCCCGGAGACTTCCGCAGGGCTCTCAGCCCCTTTCAGGCCCCTGAGGCCTAGTCCTGGCGCACCTCGGAGCATAGCCTTGTCCCTGGTCCTGCTGCTCCGGCTGGGGCTTGAGAGGCCCGCGGGCCAGCCTCTGCACGGCGGTGGCTCCTGCAGGCTGGACACTGCCCGGACGGGCCCTCTCCGGCAAGGCTTTATGGCCTCACGTGGCTCCCCGCCCTCTGCATCCATCCATCTCCCTGTGCCTGCTTTATTACCTGCCCCCAGGTAGGTTGGTGAGGGAGGAACCGGGAGGAAGGCAGGAAGCCTGCAGATTCTTGGCATGCGGGGACCGCGCCCCTAGCTGCTGCAACCACCCACAGGCAACTTGAGGTGCCTAACTCTGAAGCCCCTGCAGAGTGTTCGAATGGCTGGCGGGCTGCGAAGGGGTCTGAATGGTGGGTCGAATGTGTCTGAAGAACCGTGGTCGTTCTGTCCAGTCCCAGAACTGCCAGTGAGGACAAACCTGAGCCTCCTGGCCTGACACCTGAAGGGGGAGCAGATGGGGCCGGCAGGGTGCTCCAGGAAAGGCTGGCCTGGAACTTGGGGCCTTTTCAGCTACCAGAGGGAGTCTGGGTTTGGATTGGCCATGACTTTGGCTCCCTCTCTTTGGCTCTGTTCTGTAAGCAACATGGGAGGAAGTGTGTTTTAGTGTCCTTTAGTGTCCCAGACTCTTGGGCAATCTCGGTTCCTTACGCAACACTGTGAACTCGGTGAACAGCCCCACCACCACCATGCCCACCAGGGATCCACACATTCGTCTCAGGAAAAGGATAACAGTGCTGAATGGGAGAGAAGGGCTTCCAGTGGGATGACAGCCACCTACAGGGCCCTGTGTCCACCTGTGTCTCAGTCACTAGCCTAATGCCACTATTTGCTGTGACAGCGGCCAGGATGGATACACAGTGCATACATCCCTCTTATCAAAACAACACACAGGTGGAATTCTCTGCAGAGGAAAAGAACAGGGCACTGGGGAACAGAGTGTGCTTGTGTGACCATCTATCTTTTTTCCCCCCTAAGATTTACTTATTTTTATTGGAAAGTCAGATATACAGAGAGGAAGTTCATCTGCCTGATGATTCACTCCCGAAGCGGCCACAACAGCTGGAGCTGAGCCGATCCAAAGCCAGGAGACCAGAGCCCTTTCTGGGTCTCCCACACAGGTGCAGGATCCCAAGGCTTTGAGCCGTCCTCGACCACTTTCCCCGGGCCACAAGCAGGGAGCTGGATGGGAAGCAAGATCATTAGGACACGAATCGGCACCCACATGGAATTCTGGCTCATGTAAGGCAAGGAGTTTCGCCACTAGGCCACCACACCAGGCCCAACACTCATTTCTTAAACGAGACAGCTGGTATTCTGTTATTGTTCTCTTGATAATAGGATTAATTAAAAATGTATTCAGCAAAAATATTACATCTTTTTGTAAGATTGTCAGGCAACAAAGATTAAAAACAACAAAAGGAGCACTAGGGCTGTTTTATGCAACATCATTAGCTTCCAGTCCTGGTTTTGAACGTGGCATTATGCCTGTCTTCCAATTGTTTTTTTTTCTCCAGTTCCTTAGAGCATTGCAGGAAGGCTCTGGAAGAGAATTCAGCCTGTTTCCCTTGCATTTCAGAAGAACCCTATTCTGCCATTTTGATTCTCCCATGACCATCGATTTTTTAAACACTTCCACAATAGCTAGGCCTGGTCAGAGGCCAGGAACTCCACCCGGGTCTTCTACATGAAGATGGGGGGTGGGCAGGAACATATGTGTGTAGGCCATCAGCTGTTGGACCAGAAGCCAAGTAGCCAGGACTCTGACATCCCAAACAGTGGCTTAGTCCACCACGTCACAGTGCCTGCCAGCTCGGTCCTGTTCTCCCACAGGCTGTCAGGAGCCCCGATGGAGCCATCACATCTGCCCCAGGGTCTGCGTTGGCAAGATTTGGAGTTCGAAGCTGCAGCCAGGCATCTTAACCCTAACTCTTAGCCACTAGACTAAACCCAGCCCCAAACTGCAAGATTTTATATATATATATAAAATCATATTTAATAATATATAATATATATTAAGCTTTAATTGAAAGGCAGAGTTACAGAGCAGGAAGAGAGACAGAGACGAGAAAGATCTTCAGTCCATTGGTTCAGTCCCCAAATGATCACAACCGCTACAACTGGGCCAGAGTGAAGCCAGGAGCTTCTTCTGGGTCTCCCACATGGTACAGTGGTCCAAGCACTTAGGCCATCCTCTGCTGCTCTCCTGGACCACAGCAGCCCTAACTCCAACAGTGGCCTGTGTAAGCAGGTTGCTGGTGGTGCAGGTGGCCTGCAAGTTTTTTGTTAATTCCATTTGTTTAGGAGCGTTTTGAAGTCTCTGGTGTGTCTAGGGGCCAGCTCAGCCATAATTCCATTTGAGTTTGCATACAAAACACTACTTTTCAGGGATAAACACATAAGGCCATGTGTCCTATCATTTTAGTTCCTACTTCCTTGTTGCATGTGAGCTGTGTTTTGGGTAGAAGGAAAGAGGACACGTGTGAGGCTCAAAAGGAATCAGGAATTTAGAGAGAGAAGAAAAACGAGGAGGAGGAAGAAGAAGAAACAAAATGTGGAAGCAAAATGAGATGGAACCACACATTCTTTCACTGGCACCCCTCACATGAATCCCCATACTAGCAGCACAACCACCTCCCATCCAGTTACTCAGGGTGGTACTGGGGACCGCCCCTTCCATCTCCTATCTCCAGGGGGTCATGCATTTATAGATCTGCTCCTACTATGCGCAGAATACATACATGAACCCAGATTCATAATTTCCATGCCACACTCCCGGAACAAATCACCGGGGCTCCGAGGGAAAGCGCTCCGGCCGGCGCAACCCGACTTCAAAGGCGAGCGAGGCAGGCGTTTCCGCGGCACCTGGGGCACCTGCGGCGGCGGGTTCCTCCCTCGCCCGGGAGCGCAGCTGCTGCGGGCGCGCCGGGCGCGCAGGGGCGGTGGCGGTGATTTAGAGCCGGGCGGTTCCGCCGGCGGCTGCGAAGGTGCCTATTACCACGCCTGAGCCTGGATGTCAGAAATTCCTGCTCTTCCTCCGCAAGTTCCGGTGTCCCTGCCCTAAGGTGTCCCACCTCGAAGAGCAAGCCCGCGGCTGGCCCGAGCGCTCTGGCTTTCCTCCTTAGCCGAGACGCCTCGCACTCGGCAGGTCCGGGCTCGGTTTCTGTCTCCACCCCTTCTCATATTCATTCAGCGAACTGGTAGGATCTGCCGGTCACTGGTTCAGAGAGCTTCAGCAACAGAATCCTTGCCTCGGGGATGTCCCTTTCCTGCGAGAGAGCAAGTAACAGATAAAACAGATAAACATACGCTGCCAGGGAAGTGGGTGAACTGCCAAATTCGCTATTAGCCATGTGCTGGCATCCCTTATGGAGGGGCCGCCTGAGACAGTCTCGCTTCCCCTTCAGATACAGCATCTTGCTGATGGCCACCTGCTAATGGGCAGCTGATGGCTCAAGTACTTGAGTCTCTGTAACCTGTGTAGGGTGACCCAGATAGAGTTCCTGCTCCTGACTTCTAACCTTGACCAGTGCTGCAGGCATTGGGGAGTGAACCAGCAAAGGAAAGGGAGATGTGCCCTTCTCTTCCTCTGCCTTTCACGTAGGTAATTGAAAAAACCCAGTCTCATCTATTTTTTTTAAAGGAGGCTTTCCTGCCTGGCTTTATATATATATAAATATATATATATAAATGAATATATATATATATATATATATATTTGAAATTCAGAGGGAGAATATGTCATGCACTGGTTTACTCCCAAAGTGGCCACAAGAACCAAGGTTTGGCCACACAGGAGCCAGGAGCCTGGAGCTTCTTCTGAATTGCCTACTTGGGTACAAGGGGCCCAGGTACTTGGACCATCTTATGCTGTTTTCTCAGACACATTAGCAGAGAACTGAATGGGAACTGGAGCAGCTGTGACTCAAACTGGTGTTCCTGTGGGATGATAGCATCACAAGTGGTGACTTCACCTACTGCACCACAACACTGGCCCATTTTTAAAAATGATTAGTTATTTTGTGAAAGGCAGCAGAAAAGACAGAAAGGTAAGCTCTGTTCTCTTTCATCCCTGGGAGCTCAGTCAGCCTTTTCTAGTCCATTAAGTGGCATCTTTGTTGAGTATGTGGTATTTTCCCAGGTCTTGGGTGAGATGGTACAAATGCTTTGGTGAGCAGAACTGACGTGGTTCCTGCCCAAGGAGGTGACCACCTGGCGAAGACAGTCAAGACGGTCATTTTAACTCAAGTAAAAGGATGTGTGAATTTTAGAAGGAACGCAGGAGAAAGAAGGAACCTTTCTGGGGGTGGACCAGGGTACATCCCACAGAAAGATTATCCCTGAACCTTCCAAGGTTAGCATAGGAGTCTGCCAGAGTAGAAAGGCCCTGAAGACAGGGAACAGCATGAGCCAAGGCCAAAAAGTACACACCCCTGTAGAACAATGCAAAAAGAAGAAATTGACTTTGCCCAACCTTGGAATGTGCAACCAGGGATAGAGGGAAAAGGCTGGGCACCTTAAGCATTACCCCTCTAAGCTTGTTCCATCCATTCAAGTGCCTGAGTAGTACATGACCATGAAATTGAGAAGTACCAGACTCCAGTTTGAATTGCAATGGCAATGCCTTTGAGCAGTATGAAGAACGGATCTGAGCCCAAGTCTTGGTATGTGGCCAGGGCCCAGGTGGGAGGCAGGACCTGAGTGATATAGATGGCTAGGGCTTGGTGGAGGGGCAGAGTCAACACCAGTCCAGAAAATAGAGCGGGAACATGAGGGTGTCACTGCATGTAGCAGATGTCCAAGACGGTTGTGCTGCCTCCAAATCCTCCTTCCAGATTTGAGTTCTGGGTCCTCTAGGCCACCCCTGGTGACAGGCTTTATGAATGAGCATCCCAGTGTGGACACTGTAAAGAAAGCAGGTGACTTGAAGGTTATTCTTTCCAGAACCCTGGGGTACTCAGAGCTTGTGCTAAGCATGTTTTGTAATTGTT